AAAAAAAAAAAAACTTGTAGTCTTTTAGCGCACAATTGACCATTTATTCTTCGTTTATTTGGTCACAAAAAATCTAATTTAATAATCTGACGGCAGAATCGGTTCCTAATTTGGCGTTAACTTTCAAAATCTGCTTGTCACAGTTTTTGCTGTTACTGCAAACAAATCACATCAACTGTTCACCGTTCATCAGTTAATCTGCATAGCAGACATTCGGAAATCTACGACAACAGCAATGCCCTTTACTGTTGCCTAGCCATAGTATTTTTTTCACTGTACAAGATCAAGTCTTTTTTTTTTTGTAGAATTCTTATCTTCTCGTTGTAAAATGTATTCTGAATAGCAAACTTCATTGTATCTGCTCTTAGGTTTTTTTGTCAAAGCAATAACTTCTTTGTTTAGCATATATCACTGCCTTTGGTTTGTTTTTTTTTCTTTTGCCCAGACAGCATTGCTCCACCTTAATGTAATCAGTCCAGATGGTAAGCAAAACAATTGCTGGTGTCTGTTTGATGTTTTAAACCAAAAAAAAAAAAATCTAAATTTCTACTTCTTTTTCAAAGATTTTTAAATCGATCTATGATTTGAAAAATGATGTCATCTTAGTTGTCAAAAAATCAAGTTTATTTTTAATGTCTTTGTTCCAGAAAAAAAAAAAGCAACATTTTCATCACGTTGATTGCAATATTCGTCAGCAAATTCAAAATATTACGAAAATAATAAACTTCTTTAATGCCATTATAACATAAAAAATTTCAAAGATCTTTTTTTTTTTTTTGCAAAAATAATGTGCCGAAATAAACATGTATAGAATATATGATGACTGGAATCGAGAAGAACAGATTGACGCTGGAAACTCGTGTCTCTTTCATGTGTATCTTGCTAATAACGTTACACTTATAGTGCCGAATTCAATAAATTTAAATTCTTCTTATTAAATAATTACCGATTTTTAAAACACATAAAACTCACACGAAAATATTATTTACTTATCTGATTTTTTTTTTTTGGTTAATCTTAAAACAGAAAAAAATTGTTTGTCAAATTTGACAAAACTCATCGTAAATCAAAGTCGTTCCTTCCTGGAAAAGGAAAAAACCAAAATCTTTTTAATTTAAACTCAAACTACCTTTATTTACAACTAACCTCTCAAGCAAACGCTTACCTCAAACGTCTTAAATGTATTCCATAACTAAATGACTAAATTTATTTGTTTTGGTTACAACAACAACAATTTCTGCTGACAGGTCACCCAATTCCTCTTTTATCGAAGATGGGACAGATTCTGTACTGCTTCTGCAATTAACTGCTGCACATTGATCACACCAAAGTACAAAGATATTTACCAAAATTGTGCAACTGTAGAAAAATTATCATCACAAACGTTAATCGCGGTGCAGAAGGTCAGAAACCTAATTTATCTGGTGGCAG